TTGATAACCCATTGTCTTCCACTCCCCAGAACCTTTTAAAATGCTCTGAAGGGTCTGCCGTGGCTCTGCCAAACTTATCATCCTCTCGGGTTGCATAGGCTTGGGCAAGGCTCGCCCCTTTGCCTTGCGTGCCCGCCGCTTCTGCTTCAACAAATGGCCACTTAAGATGGCCACCTACTCCTGCACGGAGACCTTCTTGGCCTCGGCCTCTTTGCTCTGCTCCTTGGCATTCTTCATAACTATCCCACTGTGGCATGCCTCCTTCTGGGTCATGGCAGTCTCAATTTCTAGGCATGCAATCTGGGCTGCCATCTCCCGATTGCGTGTCTACGGTGCCTTGGCGGTGACAGCCACCACCATCTTCTATATTAGCTCCATCATCCCAGGAGCTTGAAGATATGCTGCCATGTTGCCCGGCTCCACCGCCGGTGTGGGGGCCTCCCGTGCTTCTTCCATAAACTGGTCCTGCACCTCAGCCTGTGCTCAAACAGCGGATGCCTTTATTGTGTCCTCCCGGACTGCTCCTTTATCTTGCCCTTTTCCCTCACAAGATGTTGCTATATCACCAGCCTCCACCACCGGCTCGCCATCTCTGGCTGCTAGTTCGGCCGCCTTAATAGCTCGGCCCTTGCGGGTTGCAGGATTGGTTTCCTTGGCCTCTATGGTGGAGATTGAGGATAGCATCTCCAAGCGCTGTCCTCTCCTCTTACAACAAAAGCGGGCGAGCCACTGGCGGTGGCCCACCGCTAAGTGGTTCTGAAACCAATTGATACAAGATTATTAGTGGTATGGGGCGCCTGCCCTCTTTTAAGCCACAGACCCACCTAGCCGGGTACATAGGTCTTTATGTGGACCTAGGTGGGACCACCCCGGCCTATGCTCATATTGTAGAGTAATGTACGTTTCGGTTCGGTTGACGTTACCATATCCTGGGCAGGGCGTCCCACACACCAAGAGACCTTAAAAGGGCATCCCCCCTGAGAGGCCTATGTGCGTAACACTTTTAGTTAAATGATCATTATAAAATACTGGCAATAGTTTCTTATATTACGGACCTATGTCTATCAATGGACTGATATAGTTAGCCTCACTTGGACCGTCAAGACCAATGTTCCTACTTCCTATACTTACACTTTGTCTTCTTCTTTTTCTTCCTTTTTTGCTTTTCCTTGGAGGCAACGGGCATGGCCCTAGTACATAACAACAAGTGGTGCCTTGGCGATGCTTCCATAGTGCTGCATGAGTTTTGGTACGGTGCTAGCAGTGCTGCACGGTGCTCAGTCAAGTCTACTTTGTGCCTACAGTTTCTATAATGACAGGTCCTGTGGCCCCCCAAAGCATCCTAAGTCCTTGTGATGTCATCTTGGTGATGGAAGGGCATTGTCACCAGTGTTCTCAGTTATCTAGGGCCCAATTTGAGCTACGTGCTATTGGTCCTTGGCCTTGCGGGGGGCCAGTTGAGAGGTACTAAATGGGCTCTATTTGTAATGTAATCTTTCTATATTAATTAGTGCCCTGAACATTAGCAATACATAAATGTGTTTGAAAGCATTCAATATAATAATATTGCTAAAGATTGGGGTTTTTATAAAAGGGGGATGATAATAAAGTGTGTAACCCGTATGCCTTATCATTAAAAGGAGCAATAGGCCAGTTACAAATTTTATTGTAAACAATTACAAGCTCGGATCGCCGCACGCGCTGCGCACGCGGCATCCTCTGATTAACCCGGCATCGTGGCTTCGAGCGGTCGTATAGACTATCGAGATAATTCTCTCAAAGCCTTGAGAAGCAATTGAATATAGACGAGTTTGAAAATGAGTTGAAAAAGTGCAATAGCAATAAAATCGAACCACGGGGACTTGATTTTTAATAGCAAGTTAACTACAGCAGTCAGTGAGTCAAATAGACTACCAGTGGGTGCACAAACTCGTGCACCATTTAGTCGCTTATTCGATGTGGTGATTGTTTCATTAGTTTGTGCGTGAATCGGTGCAACAAATGGTGCTCAATTGGTGCAGCGTGGTAATGAAAAAGCTGTTTTTTCCTTGTTGTTGTATTTTTCATCCGCACCGGTCTGTCAATGAGCGACCACGATAGCGTGGGCAAGGTGTTGGCGCTGGGAGGGCGGCAAGCGAAGCCCAAGGAGGGGCAGCCCAGGCGCTGGATACTAGCGCCTTGGCTGCCTTGCAATAGACCGGAGGTTCGACTGTGCTTGATCGGTGCCATGGCAGGCGATCGCCGCTACCAAGCGATCCCAAAAGGCAAGCGATCCTAAGTGCCGACAATCCCTGGCGCTTGGAGCGTTCGCTTGCCCAGACCGAACACCAAAGGGTGCCAAAATGGCCAGCCTTGGCTGAGCATTTGGTGCCTCTTTGTCGTTGGCTGGTGCGACCAGAATTGGCGAATTGAGGCACAAACTGCAACGAGGGAGTGGGGGGCGGCGATTGAGGCCCCACTACCGACGCTTTGTGGTAACACGTTTGGGATTTGCGCCGGGGCGCTGCGTGTTCCACGCTTCCTTTTTGCTTGGTGGAATTGCCGCTCGTGGCCACCGATTGTGGCCAGGCGTGAGTGCCAAGGTTGGCGCCCGTGGTTGACCGCAATCGGTGGCCGCAAGGGGCAAAAGTGGTGGTAGTTGGAGGCCACCATCGGCCTCCCACTCCTGTCACTTTGTGGCCACGCGGTTGGCACTTTCCCCTGTGCCCTGGGCACCGCGTGATCTCCAGCTGACCATTGGAATCTGGCCTTCGCGAGCACCGATTGTTGCGATCTGCTGGCGCCAATCTAGGCGTTTGCGGGTTGCCATAATAGGTGACAGCTAGGGCCGAAAGCGGCGGGAGTGGGAGGCGGTGATTGGCCTCCCACTCGCGTCGCTTTGTGACAACGCGTTCGCCAATCTCGCCCGCACTTTCGCCTCCAGGCGTTGTCCAATTGACCCGTGGTATCTGCCCTTCGTGGGGTCCGATTGTTGCCACCCACCGATGCCGATCTTGGCATCTGGGAGTGGCCACGATCGGTGGCCACGAGGGGTGGAAGCGGTGGGATCGTAGGGGCCGATCGGCGTCCCACTCCCGCAACTTGTGGCGGCATGCTTGTGGTGCTTGTGGAGCTGGTGCTTGTAGTGCTCATGGCCTAGCACCCGCCACTGCCCGGCGCTCTTGAGATGGCTGGCCCTGGCAGGGCAACACATAGTGTTTGTTCCTCCCGCCGACCAGCCTGCAACCGTGGTGTAGCCTCAGGTGGGCGTTCTTTTAGTGACCTGCAAAGCCCGCGACCTTGCACCTTGTTGCATGCAGCGTCTAGTGCGTGGTCTTTCAGCGGTCTGCAAGTAGTCGCACCCAAGCTTAAGGCCCTCGTCGCTTTTGCTTTGTCCTTTTCCATGCACGGCCGCAAGTGTTTGCCTGCCGTTGTGGGCCATCGGCACCCACGGCTACTGCAGCTCTCACACCTTGCATCGCCATGTGCATCCCTACCCGCCAAACCGCTCGGGTGGCTTGAGGGGCGCAGGCGGATAGGACGGGAATGGCTGGATTGGGGGCGAGGATAGTGGCACCTACCATCACTAAGGCAGCAAACCCACATGCCGCACCGCGCCGTGCTACGGTCTGCTGTTTTGTTGCGTCTCACCCCGCCGCTATGCCTCATGGTTGCAGGAGCCACGTTGTTCCTTGAGTTGCAACCCGCACGTGAAAAGCTTTCAGCGCGCTCAAGCGTGGTTTGTCATTGGTCGGGGCTTTCACGTTTTGACCAGGCCGCGTTCGCGACCTCAGGTCGCCTGGCTCCCGCTCCAACGCCTACTCTGCTGCGGACGTCGGGAAACCTCGCGGGGCGCCAAGAGCAAGACACGCCAATCGCCCGTATCGGAATTTTACCCTTCGTCCGAGGGGCGCGCAGTAGGCGCCACGAGGCTTGCCGCTATGCAAAAAAGCCATGTTTGAATGCCAGCGTGGCAGTGGGCCTGCCGATGCTTTGCGGACTGCCGCTGTGCTTTAGCCTGTATTGTGGGCAGGCCTGGCCTGACTGACAGCGGATTATTTTAAATACCGCCGGGTTAACCAAACTTTAAGTACATGATATTATAGGAATGAAGTAGTTGCAAACATATATGCAAGAGGTGTAATACAATTGTTATGCGCCGGAGCTGGCAAAGTTTATGGTGGTGCAGAATAAGTCATTTAAAAAATAGCATAAGCCAACATTAACCTAGACTTGAAGAACACAAGGGCCCTCATCCCTTTGTTGCTGAATGTGCAAATACAATAGGGGTCCTTATATAGCGCCCCCCCCAATAGCGCCCCCGGCCACCAATAGCGCTTTTTTTTGGGCGTATCACCATTTATATAGTACTTTAGGTAGCTTTGAAGTGCATTGGGACCTCAAACTAGTATAGGGGTCTAGTTTAGCGACCCATATTTAGCGACCTGTTTAACGATTATCTTTATGGCTCGTCACTGTTCCCGTAGTGCTTTGTTTCACTGCGACAGGCCCTAGTGCCCGCGACTTGGGCGCTGCGACAGTCGCTAGCCCCAAAAGCCGGTATGGACCCAATAGGCAGGGGGTAGCGTACCCCCCACACCGACAATCAAGGCACCCCGTACACCGGCAGTTAGGGTACCCCCTACCGGCGGCCAGAGTACACCCTATACCGGCAGCCAGGGTACCCTCCACACCGGCGTCTATGATACCCCTTACACTGGCGGCCATGATACCTCCTACACCGGCAGTTTAGGGTACTCCCTACACTGGCGGCCAGGGTACCCTTTACACCGGTTGCTCAGGGTATTCCATTGACACAATAGCGCCCCCGGGCCCCAATAGCGCCCCCCTTTTGGCCATGTCACGCGGGGGGCGCTATATAGGGACTCCTACTGTATGTACCCAGTCCGAGCCAGTTAGGCCTGTACATATAGCCACACAGCCAGTGCCACTGGCTGTCGGGCGCTGTGTCGCCCGCGGACAACCAACGCAAACGCTTTTGGCGGGGAGACCCCGATCGGATGCGCAAACGCCTTGCCGCGGTCGTCCTGCTATGCTTGCTGTCTGGCTGCCTTCCGGTTCGCAGATCCTGTAAAGGCGCTGGCGCCGCTGCGGGGCCCGAGGGCGGTGGCGATCGCACGGATCGCTGCCCGGCGCCACGGGCCCACGCGCCGTTTTCGAGGGACCGCGTTTGCGCCCAGTCGAGGTGGCCGGAGGCCGCGCGCGGATACCCTGTATTGCCCCTTCGTGAAGATTCGGATATCTGCTCTGCGGCATATACTCCTGTGGAAGAGATGGCCGAGCCGGACCCCGTTTCCCAGTCCAATTTTCGCCAAATTCACGTCACGCATTCGGACTACGGTGGGGCACAACACCGGTTCTGTTTGTTTGCTTGGTGTCTCGGGTTTGCTTAGGTCAACGGATGACAGTGCATGCATGGTGTTAGATGCCTCCAGTCGATGGATCCTGATATAGAATGATGTAGAAGATGTGCTTGCATGTCCAGCGCCACGTGTGCACATTGCTCTCAGCCTGATGAACAATGCCTTGTTGCCATTTAGGTCGGCAAGATGACCACGTATTTAGAGAGAAAGCCATTCAGATGGCATGACTAAATGATTGGGGGCTGTATTGCCTTTGACAGGTGTCTAGTTCGCGCGGATCCGGTTTGGCAGCGTTCATGTCCTTCTGGAAAGTGCCACAGCGGGCTGCCATGACAAGTCACCAGACTGTAGCTGTGCATGTAGCTGTGCCAGGACGAGTTACCAGACTGTAGCGATCTCTGTGCATTAGTTCAAGAAATACGATGTGGGTAATCTGGCCATTCGCAATAGAAATGCCCCACAGAATGTTAAGGCCCCAAGGACGGTGGCTGGTCCCAGTTTCATTGCTGCAGACAACTCAAACAGCGATGGACATTGGCAAACAACTCCAGGGGATCTTCTCCATTTGACAAATGTTGAATGAATTTGAACTTGTTTGGGTTTCCTGGATTGCTGTTGTGCTGTGGATGAGATTGGCAAGAACTTTCCCTCCAGTGCATTGCATCTTTGAAGACAGATGTAACAAAAAGGAATTTCACACTGAAAATTTTGTATCTTCAGCAGACTTGGATCTGTTGGCAGAATAGTCGATGGACAACAGGTCGCATCCATCCCAAGCAACAAGTCCTATACCATAAGTGAATAAGTGCATGGATGCTTCATTGAAAGCGAGAATCAGCTAATTGCAAGGTTCACCTCCCCCAATGCATTGCGATAATTAAATAAAATGACATGTCAGATAGTGATCTATCCAGCATGCACAAGGCAGGTTCTATTGTACTTGAAAATGACATGTCAGATAGTGATCTATCCAGCATGCACAAGGCAGGTTCTATTGTACTTGGAAAACCATGAATGAAGGGATGACACGTGCAACAGCAGACACAGATGTGTCGATGCTGCACATCGAAAAGGACTCACAACCAGAAGATGTTCATGGCACAGTGTTGTGATGATAGTAAGCATGTGTCATGCATGTGCAGAGCTGGATATCGATTTTGCAGCACTAAGGATGGAAGGCTTTGTTCAGGTAGAAGGAGTATGACAGGAGCTCAAACCTTTTCATCAAGTCTGTTTGATCGGTTACAATGTGCTGACCTTGGGCTGGAGAAATTTGAGGCACTAGACATGTCAACACCAAAATCGTTCTTCATGATATACTGATGAGCCATTGATTTTACCCGTGATGTGACTACACATTGATTAATGCAGAATATGAGGATTGTCAGCTCTCTTCAATTGAGTTCACTGTACCGATCCTGTACATTTGTTGACTACCTCAGTGACTGGTATGCCGGCACAGTATGATGCCTTGTCCATGCCTGGCATTTTTCATTCTGATTTTATCACTCACATTGTTGATTCGGCATGAGGACTATTTCTCTTTTCCCAGGTGCACTTTGGCTATCAAGTTGAGACTGTGACCTCTCAGTCGGCAGCACACCAGATTACCACACTTGATCAGGGTGGCATGCTTCCAAAATTGAAAATGTTGTGGGATATTTGCAAAAGGACTGAAACTGCCTAATTGGTTTTCCTTGTATCGAGTTTGCAGCTGACAGCTGTTGTCAAGGAGGATGGCTGTACAAAACTTGTGTTAGACACCCGTGACTTGACGATTATAAAGACCTGCATACTGCCATCCAAGTGTGAGAAGGGAGTGGACTTTTCTATTGGAAGTGCGGACAAGGTAGTCAAAGGGCCAAGAGGGGGTTAAATGTGTCGCCCTTGCAATCATTCTGGGCATGTTGCCTGTCAGATTGGATGTGCAGTGTAGAAGGCACACTGCAGGGTGGTTGAATGTTGGTGCATGCACTGATCTTGTGCGGTTCAGAGGTTTTGGCACTATTGGAGTTGAGAGTGTGTTGGGAGGCACATTGGGTTGGGATGATAGTCTTGACAATGTGGTACCCTTGGTTAATGCTGGGAGACAAGAGCAAATAGTGGCTCTCAAGCTGACAACAGACATCTGCACGGTTCACTGCATTGTTGCTTGCTGCCTGTTGTTACCTTGCAGTGGCAAGCGAATTGTTATGTGCTGAAAAGGCAAAAGTGTTTTCATAGTTGCTCGTTGTAGTTTTCATTGCATTTGAAAAAGTTGCGCATCTTTTCTTGTGTGGCGCAGACTCACACATCTTTTCCCAGGCAGGTTAGTCTCAGTGTCACCTGTCTAATCTGTGTGTTGAATCGTCCATATGGCTCACTGCAGGTGTTGGGATCGTCCCTAACGGTGGAGCTTCCTGACAACCTGACAAAGGGTCAACAGGTGCATTTGCCGTTCTCTCCTCGTTTGGTACCCAAGTGCCAACATGTTGTACAGTGCATACTGCGCACTCACATCACTTGCAACTTATTAGTGAGGAATATGAGGTGGTATGCCAACACATGAATACACAAGACTTGAATAAGATCGACAAAGTGAAACAATAGTGTTTCAAGTATGCAGAGAGTATTCAGAGCATGTAAGCTGCATACTAGTGGAACGAGGACACAGCACTATAGATGCATATATTTACATATTCACGATATGGAATACATACAATTGTGGGCCCGTGGCATTGCCATTTCTGCCTGGGTGCTTGTGTAGCAGTCTGACAGACACTGTTATCGACTGTGCAGAAATTTTTGGGGTTTCCGGCACAGTGTTAAGGTTACCCTCGTTTCCAAACAGCATCCTTGCAGCTGAGGTGGGGCACTGTCTTGAAGGTGGTGGTGGGAGTTCACTTCAAGACATCACCAGAAAGCACAGCTATGCAGTGGCTTGAACCTGCACAAACGGCAGGTGGCACCCACCCCTACTTGTTCACGCAGTGCCAGGCGATCCATGCACGATCCTTCGTGCCCTGCCAGGTGAGCAACAGCAGAAGGCCATGTGGAGATATTGTCACAGATGTTATGCAAGTTGCAAGGTAGTGAGGAGCGTCAAAGCTCTGCAACATGTTCAGCAACAATCACTTCAGTGGAAGCTCTGGAATAGAGCAAGGCTGAAACACGGGAGTGAACAGGCACTGTTAAAGCAAGAGCCCCAAGGAAGGAGCTGCTATTGACGTTCACACTTTCTGTTGCTGTTCGATCACACTGCCCTGTCAATGTCATGCCCTGGAATGACACTGGGCAGAATTGGCTCCATTGCTCCGCTGTGTTTCTTCATCCTTATAGCTTCTGAATGTACCTGTCCTATGACTGCAGTGCACAGGCTGCCATGCACTGTCTGCCCTGCCTTGCAGTGTGCGTTCACTATATGCCTACAGCCTCACGTTGAGTGATGCAATAAACTTAATGGATGATAACTGTGCCCACATCTCCATGCTGTGTTTTCCAGGATTCTCCTGGTGCAAAGATGACGTATTCAGCTGCTGTGAGGGTGCCAGGGCAGCTGACTGCCCTGATGAGTGCTGTTCCAGTGGAAACAAAGCCCAAACCAGGTCCTCATTGGTGGCCATTTTCTATGTCTTATCAGCACATGCTAAAATGACACTAAGAAATGCTAAGGGGCATGCTGGGGACTGTTTTTGTGCTGGAGTAGCTCTTTTGTCCTTCGACACTCTCTGGATGCGCTCCCTGCTTGCATCTTGGACGACCTGCTACAAAAGCGTGGATTACCATTGGTTGCATCTATTGATAGGTCTAGTGATGACCAGGACACCTGCCACAAAGCTGAAGAAAATTCACGTGGATGCACTTTGGTTGCTTGGTGATATGCATGCTTCATCACCATGTGGCCTCAAGTATGCTGTCTGTGGTGCAGATTTCAGCATCCTTGATGCAAAACCTAGGACGCAGACCTTCTACTTTGAGCAGAAGATTCCAATCCCACCTTACCTGTTGGCACTTGTTGTTGGAGAGCTTGAATCTCGCGAACTGAGCCCCAGGACACGAGTATGGTCAGAGCCTTCAGTGGTGGACTCAGCTGCGCATGAATTTGCCGAGACCCCTCAGTTTCTGGATGCAGGTATGTCCCACCCACTCTTGTTTAGTCTCCCACTCCCTCCTTGTCTTTTGTGTGTTTGCTGAAGCACCCTTGCAGTTGGCAGGAACACTTGCAACAATACTGCCCATCTCATTCAATATCCAGTTTGTGATATAAGAAGCGAATGTGTGCCTTGTTTTGCGTCATTTGCAATGCATGGAGTAATATAAGCTTAAAATGATGTGAGGTGCAGTTGCTGGGTGTTGCACAGTACTGATTCACCACATGTGTTATCCAGGCGAGCTATTTGCAGGGGAGTATGTGTGGGGGCGCTATGATCTTCTTGTGCTTCCTCCATCATTTCCCTATGGGGGAATGGAAAATCCCTGTCTCACGTTTGTAACTCCAACGTTGTTAGCTGGGGACAGATCACTGGCCAATGTGATCATTCATGAGATTTGCCACAGCTGGACGGGCAACCTGGTCACCAATGCCAATCACAATCATTTCTGGCTCAATGAAGGTGAACAGTTGTGCAACAGATAATATCAATCTGCACATCCATTATTGTGAATGTTTGACTGTGGCAGAGGCATTCTTCGAATTTCTTTTGAGAACTTTCCAGTCCCCAAGATCAATCGTGCAGAGTCTGCAGACCGCTGCAGTGTTGAACACGGTTCCAGCCCTGCTGCAGTAGGCCATTGAAAAGGCCGAGTGCCACTGGAACTGCCAGTTTAAAGAGTTTTGCAATACATGTTTTGCGTGTGGGAGCTGAGGTGGCTATCCTTGTTTGTGGCCAGGCTGGACAGTTTTCCTGGAGCGCAAGATCTTGGGACATGTCTTTGGAGAAAAAATTGCTCAATTCCATGCAGCAAATGGACATTTGGACCTCATTGCTGAGGTGGAGAGGTTTGGGCCCAAGCATCCATGGACGAGGATGGTGGTGGACATCCAGGGGGGCATGGACCCAGACATGTTTTATTCCAAACTACCCTATGAGAAAGGATTCCATTTCCTGTATTTTCTACAGGTGCGATGCTCCACAAGTACAAATTCGAATGGCAATTCCTCGGACTCACCCGTTTGTACCTAACGTTGCAGTTGGCAGGTGATGTGTTAACTTGCACTGCTTATTATGTGGCAAATGGTGGTGAGACAAATGCAGTGCCTCTGCTCACAATGGATGCACCAGTTGGCAACGATACACAGGAAGTTCCTCCACATGCATTGCGTTCGAAGGTGAAGCAAGTCCAACTCATGTTCAACTGATGTGCTGCAGGACAATCAGACTGTAAATCAGATTATTGGCTTTGGCTCATTCTATGCATAGCATTGCCTGCTTCATCCAGCGTTGGTCAATTGTGTGTGCCTCCATTTTTTGATCTTGGTATGTATTCTTGCTGTGCCATGGTGCCCTGCTGTTGCCCCCACAGCTTCAAGCCCTGTGGCTGCTCGATTTTGGTGGCAACTCCTGAAAACAAGTTGTCGCGCTGATGCTCTTGTTATGAGCTTTGTGCACAGCCCTCTCTGGTGCAATCGTGCTCACTTAGTGCAGGGCTGCTGCTTTTTTTATTGTGAAGGATGCATCTTCACTGGAACCCTAGGGGGTCGCAACAGGTCTTCGAATTGAAACGGTGACCAGGAGACAAATTCATGCTGTGCTTTCTCAGCAATCTTGTTAAGGGTGCAGCTGTCCAGAATCATCATACATAGTGTGGGCAAGCCCATCCATCCAGGTAGGACCACCAAAACAAGATTTTTTAAATGGTTTCGTAACGATGTGTCCCTCAACAAACAAATTAGTCATTTGACAAACAACAGAAGCTTGTGTTGCATTGGTAACGCCTTATGAAGCACAGCACAGTTGGAAGACTGCCTGAGGTGGTGTGTCGGTGTGGCATTGGGCAGGTGCTTCTTGGGGGCCCTACGATCTTTGAGCCGTTCATGAAGGCCTACGTTGAGGATTTCAAGCTCAAGACACTAACAACTAACGACTTCAAGGAATATTTTCTAACATACTTTGATGGCCATCCATGTGTTGGAGGCATTGACTGGGATGCGTGGCTATACTCACCAGGCCTGCCTCCACGGGACAACTACTATGACCTTTCCATGGCAAAAGCCCCCTATGCACTGGCGCAAAAGTGGCACGAGTCAGACGCGACAGGTGTGGGAGGTGGGTGGACAAAAGCACTCCCTTGAGACCCATGCAGGTGTTTTGCTGATTGAATAAGTTTGTGTCTCAGGCTTTGGTGAGTAAGCGTGCGCTTTGAGGCTGCTGACTCACCACTTCCTGGTTGGGATGGTGCATTTTGTCTGGGAGTGACTGGCATGGTACTCAGTCCACTGTGGTATTTGCATCGGAACCGTTAGCAGTACATGTACTGTTGTCGCATGTGGTGCAATGGGCAGCGGATTGCATGTGAGAATTGAAGTTTGTTTTCTCCATTCTCCTGCATCTGCCTTGCGTTTGGCGCAACGCATAGCTTAACATTTTCCGAACAGCGGTTACTCTACTGGAGCTGCATTACACCGGCGCCCTTGCCAGTTGCTACGAAGGGATGATTCGTTGACTGGTGTTTCCAGGAGGGGGCCCAGCTGGGGTGTCCAGTGCTGACATGGACAATTGGACATCAGGCCAGACCGATGCATTCCTGGCCAAGCTTCTGGGACTGCGGTCCATGGTGCCCATGCACAAGACCCTCACGCGCAAGATGGCCAACATCTATGGATTGGACAATGTAAAGAATTCCGAAATTCGGTTTGGGTGGCTCAAGCTGTGCGTCATGGCCGAGGACGAAGCAGTCGTCGATAACTTGGTCGACTTCTTGAAGTTGCAGGGACGCATGAAGTTCGTGCACCCGCTGTACAAGGCCTGGGGAGCTTCGAAGATGGGCAGGGACGCAGCCCCACGCCTGTTCCGGGAGGTGGCTCACTCGTATCATCCCACCGTGAGGAAGAAGGTCGCTAGCACTTTGGGTATCAGCGCATGACGGTTATTTGCAATTGCTATGGCTGGTCTCCTGCGCAGCCAGGCAGGGTAGTGCATGGACTGGGCGTTGTCAATCCTCTTGTTATGTGCGTTGAGAGCAGCACAGCGATGTCTTTGCTTCTTCCAAGGCAGTTGGAATTGATATCAGGAAGTTGATTGTTTAAGCCAGAGGCATGCAAGGGTTCTTGATGCTTTGGACAGCCTGTATGGTCCGCTGTGGAAGTCCGGTGTGGGTGGATGGGAGTTGGGCCAGAGAGGCTTGGATGGCTGGCGAGGGGCAGCGCCAGCGCGTCTTGGCTGCATCAAGTCTTGTATGAGGGCCAGTCGGAACCATCTAGGGTCATTCTTCTTCAGTTTGGGGCTGCTTCTGCCTGATTGTTGCTGCCTCCTTTGAGGAACGACGCTTTTTCATCAAGAAATATTACAAATTTGGTGTACAGAATCAAATTGACGAATTCGAAACTTCAGCCAACCATGAATAGTCGTTCTTTCTGGAAAACGAAGCTTTGCCCTCCTTACATAGCTGCACTTGCTATGACATAGATTGGCGCAGGCAGGCAGACACAGGACATAGACTACTGTTGTGTCGGCTTGTCTATGCACATGCCTGGGCATACCAACATACAACATATGTGTGTGTGTGTGTGTGTGTGTGTGTGTGTGTGTGTGTGTGTGTGTGTGTGTGTGTGTGTGTGTGTGTGTGTGTGTGTGTGTGTGTGTGTGAAATTCCAATTACATCCAGCCAAAGTGTTTGTCCCTATGCACAATCCAAGACGGGGCCCATTCACAAGAAATGCGATGTAGGGCGATTGGTGTCCGCAACTGTCCCTAATAATCCCACTCCAGAAAATCTGTTGCACCTCGTCCAAAGTCGAAGCACAGGAACTCTTTGGCAAAAGAAAAGAGCAGAAAAGAAAGAAAGGAAAAGAGTGTGTTGGATTCAATTCCAGAAATTCGATGCAACCCAGATCATGTTCTCCATCCCCATGAAGTGCCCCCTTGCTGTTTGTCCCAAATGACTTTGATGCGCCGCACGAACGTGGCCAGAACGGGAAGGCTGCTTCGGACCACGGCTGACAGCTCCCAAGGAATATCTTCCTCCAGCTGGTTGCGGAGCATCTCCTGACAGTAGACTCGGATGTGAGCATACTTGGGACAAACGGTGAAGATGTGATGACGATCTTCTATGCTCATGTGGCAGAAGCGGCAGGTCGGGAGGGGAGTCAGCGCCTTTTTGAAGAGAAAGCTGCGGCAGGGGAAATGGTCCACTAGAAACTGAGCTACGATGGACGAAGTGCTCCTGGAGAAGTGTCGAGTCCAGCGCACCGAAGGACGGAAGTGCCACCCGCAGTCGTGCAGCCCTTGTCCAGTAGAGAGGGATGTCCAGCAAGCCTCCATGCGCTGGCAAAAATGCTTGAACAATCTGCTTTTTAGTAATGATGTACAGTGTGGCAGTGAACGGTGTGTAAAATGGCCGATCCCCGCGGCTGCCCTCGTGGCCGCCTCGTCTGCCGCCTCATTTTCTGCGATGTTTGAGTGGCCTGGAACCCATGTGAGGTGAATAGCTGGGATCCATTCGGCAGCCGCCTGGAGCAGCTGCCTGGTATCCACCACCAGCTCTGACGTATTGCGGCCTGAAATCAAGCCCAGAATGGCTGCTTGGGAGTCAGAAATTAAATGTAGCGTGGTGATCCCCCACCGTCCCTGGATGCAACGAAGAAAGTCCAGCCCCAGCCGCACCCCCTCTGTCTCCAATTGTGTACTTGAGTGCGCTCCCCTGGACCGGCAGGATGGTCCAAAGAAACACTGATTGGACCCCATGGTAATGATGGCTGCGGCACCAGCCCCCTCCGCTGTAACAGAACCGTCAGAGCTGATCCAGAGCGTGGTTTCCGGCGCTTGTTGACGTGCAGCTCGGAGAAGGACTGCCGCTGTAGCCCTCTCCGGGAAGTGAACCTCAACTGGAAGAGCTTGTTCATGGGGCGGAAAAGGCCATAGTAACCGTCGCTCCACATTCGGGGTAGCAGTGAAAACGTCAGCTGGAAAAACCCTCTGTTGCTGGAGACGATGGAGCTCCGCACGAAGAATGTCATCCGGAGCACAGAACGAGTTAATGGACGAGGTGCCTGAATCATTGCGGATGTCGACTCCGAAAGTGACCATGCGCAGCCAAAATTCCAGTAAACGACGTTTAATCTCCAATTCTGGTAGCAGCAAGCCACTAAGGAAGATGGTGGCGTCAGTTGAAGTGGACTTGATGAGACCAGTGATCAGCAGTGCTGACAGCCGCAGAACCCGTTCAAGGGGCCGAAGGGTGGACCTTTTGCTGGTGACACTCGCCCAAACCGGAGCTGCATAGTACAAAAGTGGCATGACGGTGCCCATCACCAGACGGCGGGCTATGCAAGGATGGATGCCCCAATAAACGCCACAAAATTTTTGAATGATACGGAGGCGCTGGTAGCATCGAGTAGACACCTCCTGAATGTGTGGGGTCCAAGAAAGCTTGTTGTCCAAGATGACTCCCAAGTACCGGAATGATGGTGTCCGTTGCAAAGGCTGGCCTCCGAGAAGCAAGGGAGGGGGGCTGGGCGAGTTCCGAAGGCGTGAGATGCACATGACGGCTGATTTGTCGACACTGAACGTCATCCTCCAGTCAGCTGCCCATGTGTCCACTTGGTGTAAGGCTTGTTGTAATTTCCCAATCTCTGAGTGGTGGCGATCGGTCTCTAGCCAGAGAAGCAGGTCGTCGGCATACGCTTGAATGGAGACTGAAGCAGAAATCTGGGTAAGCAGAGGTTCCACGTAGAGCAGGAACAGAACTGGAGAAAGCGGAGATCCCTGTGGTACTCCCAAATCCAACTGGCGCTGTCGAACTGCTGATCCAACTTGTAATGTTGCAGATCGATTAGTAATGAAGCTCTGTGTCCAATAAATGAGGTAGCTGGGGATGTCTTTCTGCTGCATGGCAAGGAGTAAGCCAGGGCCCCAAATGGTGTCATAGGCTGCATGTAAGTCCAATGAGACCACCCACAGTTGGCGGCGATTCTTCAAGGCATGTGATGCGGCTGCGACGAAGTTCCAGATGGCCCATTCTGTGCCGCGTTGCCGTCGGAAACCGAATTGATGACTGGATAGCTTGTTGTGCGATTCCAGCCAATGCGTAAGACGGGATTTGACCACGTTTTCAATAACCTTGCCTACCACGGACAGGAGCGAGATGGGGCGATAACCCCCCAATGTGTGGGGATCCCGATTGGCTTTACGTAATGGGATCACCTGGGCCTCCTTCCAGCACGGAGGGAAGCAGTGATGGCGGAAGCTGCCTTCAGCAATTGCTCTGATGTAGGGCACCACCAAATCGCTGGAGTGACGAAGACAGAGATCTGTGATGTCATCCCACCCAGGTGCTCCCAAAGCGCGCATCTCCAAGATGGTCCTATGAATTTCGGCTGATGTGACTGAAGGGAATTGACAATGGTCGAAGGGGTGCTCCGTAAACCACTGATGCACCTGAGCGAGTTTGGATTGATGCTCGCTGGAGAGCGGTAATGAATCCTGGGGGAAGAACCTGGGCTCTAAAGCTGCGGCCTTCTCGTCATCGGTCCTGGCCCAGCCACCCTCAGAGTCGGATAGTTCGTGCACCATAAAGCCAGAATCACACCTGGAAACTCGCTGAAACCGGTCCCAGAGTGTGTCGTCATTGGTGGAAGCAGCAAAATCTCGCCACATGGACCGCTTTGCAGCCCGGATTTCTTTCTTGAAAATGCGGCGGGCCTCCAGAAATGTGGCATGATCTGAATCCAGCCTTGAGCGAAGCCAGCGGAAGTGAGCACGGTTGACATTGCGTCGGAGCTCTGCCATTTTCTCTGACCACCATGGCTTGGAGAATTTGGTGATCCGCTTGACTGGCACACTGACTGAAATTGCTGACTGAATTGCTGAAGAAAGAGATTGAGTCAATTGAGTGATCTGAAGAGGAGATGTAGGAACATCAAAACTCGTCCCTCGCTGACTGAGTTCTGAACCCAAGGTATTGCGGAAGAGGGTCCAATCAGCAGCCTTCCAATCATAGCGAGAACGAAGATGATGATGATCGGGACGCACGTGAAATCTCGTCAAAACAGGATAATGATCTGACTGGAAATCGTGCTCGAGTACTTGCCAACCTTGACAGAGGCGAGCCAAGGACGGGGATGCTGTGGAGACATCAATCCACGAGAAGCTGCGAGGGTTGGCGACGAATGTGGGGGGCGAATCTGGAACGTTGAGAATCTGAAGCTTGTGTTTGATAGTGAATTCCTCAATTTGATGTCCCACGTGGTTGCAGCGTACTGAGTCGGGACCCCAGGACGGTGAATGACCATTGGAATCCATCCCAATGAACAGCCAAGGTGAAATGGACATGGCTGCAGACGTGGCCTGATGCAAGTCATGAAGACCTACAGCTGTAGATGATTGAATGTAGGCAGATAAAAGCCCAACCCGGCATGCGCCCCATTTCAACATGACCCCCGTCACCCTGGGAGAAGAAATCCCCAAATTCCATGCAGAAATACCTCTGGCCACCAACACCGCAGTAGTCTTCGGGGAGTCACAGTGGCCAACGCTGAGAAATTTTTGGAATCCACAGAATGTGGCTCGGGGGGTCTGAAGAGCTGTTGGAATGTCTTGAAGTAGCAGCACGTCAATGTCATGAGTTCTGGCGTAGTCAGTCACAATTTGTAGGCTGAGAAAGCTGCGACGTAGATTGAGGTGGATGACTTGAAGTCCTTGAAATTTCTGTGAGAGTGAAGAGTCCCCCGTCCCCCCGAAGTCCTCCCTTCGATTCATGGCTGTGATGGAGCGCCACGCGCCCCAGACGGATTGCGAAATGTAGGAGCGCCATGATGGTGAGGACCAGAAGCTGGTTGATCACTGGAAGATGGGACAGTCTCATGAAGGTCTCGGTGGGGGCAGTCACGTGTTTCGTGGGAGCCCTGTGATCCGCATGCGCGACAG